CCAGAATGGGAAGAATTTTTATGGATGTAAACCGTCGTAAATAATGCGGCCACGGTGTAATTTCTCTCTTAAGCAAGGGGGCGGCGATAAATTTTCGCGAAAAATGGATCGGTCGCGCATCGCGTGGAAAAGCTATTACTGTTCAAACGCGCACACGAATATTTCAGTATTCGCGGCTGCGTAATATATTGTAAACGAATCAGTTCCGATGCGATTCAAGTCGATTTCATTAATTGTTAAAAATATCGGATATTTCATGAGCTCCCGCGAATGTCGCGGCAATTGAATTAATTCGAATGGACAGAGGAATTATTCGGCGCGGCGTATGCAATGTCAATATTTAGAACGTATATTGATTTAAACTAAACATGATTTGTGACGCGAGTTCGGTATTAAATATCCGTGACCCGAACTATCTAGGCTGGCCGCGCTGGTACCAGAAAGGAAATTTCACTCACGAATTTCATGGGATTACTCACTTTCAGGCGGGAATGACTCCTCGCGGAGCGGAGATTGATCGATCGCCGGCGATATCGTCATCGGGGGGTTGTCGCTCTTCGACGATGACGCATCGTAGCTTTCGGCCACAGTGAAGTCTCGATGCCGCCTCGAGTGCTGAAAGGAATGAAAAATGCATACGTAAGAACTGCAGAGGAAACTGGGTTAAACCGAGGGGGTCAAGAAAGAGTCAATGGTGGGCGGCGCGGGGGAGGTGGCGCTGAGGAGGGTGAGTTGAGTTTGGGAGGTGTCGAGTGAATCGATGGAGGCTACGATTAGGCACGACTGTGCTTGAAAAAAAGTGCATCGTTTACGTAAATTAGAACAGGTCCGTCGTGTACACTGCTCTGAGCTGCTTTTATCCTATTACAGTGGAGATGGGAAGAAGGGTCACGGGTAAATAAGATTTAATAAGCGTTTACTTTTTTTATTAAAATTAAGAAGAAGAAGAAGAAGAAGAAGAAGAAGAAGAAGGAGAAGACGACTACGAAGATGCGCACGCGGTAATTTTATTAGAGAAAATTTCTTACGGTACGCGAATAGTTTCTTACATGTTTAAGTACCGTCGATGCGAGGCCGCACTTCCTCCGTAGGAAATTAATTTCTTTACGACGGCACAAAGGAGCTTTGCGACGGAAGCTCCTCCCCTCGTGCCTCGGATCGAAGCTTTTTAAACTGCCGCACGAATGAAACAGAAATTCGTTTGAAGGGATGACCGCAGGGGTTACAGTATCTCGGTAATGCATCGTAATAATACCGTTCGCGATCGTCTTCTAAGGGGGATGAAGGGAGGATTGCGCTCGCGATTGTTTTCTTGACGTTCGCTCGACGTTAAGTTTCAGCCCGTCAGAGCCGCGGGGGATGACAAACTATCAATAATAGGGAGCAAAGGGAAGGTATTGGAGGAACGACCGGGTTTCCCGGTGTCGGGTTTCTGTCCGTTCGATTTTTCATGGCGCGGAATGCGACGTGATATGGGGATACTGTCATCGCTGAGGGGCTGCAAGAGGGAAAAGAAAACACGGGGAATCAGTTCTCGGTGGACCCAGGGGCCGATCCCGCGCGAACCCCCGCAGAAGTTTTCGGGGTTAATATACGAAGCTGAAATATCAGAGCGACATCGAGAAATATGAGCAGTTTTAGGTGCCATTCGTCCTCCATGGCCACGTTATTTCACCAGAAGATTTATGACGACACGCCGGTGTTCCGTATCTCCATTAGCGTCCTCCGGAATTGTTCATTCGCGGAACGAGTGGTTCCAATTACTTTCAGCAATATCTGCTACTGGTACAGCTGTTTGGAACTTTCGGGAATTATTCACTCGTACACGGGGGCTGCCGCGATGGCCCTTGCGGCCTGCTAGTAAACACTCGGGGATCGTGTTGCACTCGAATTTTCATGGGATCAACTTCCTTTGTAGGCGTACACGGCTAAACGGATTCATGAATGATCAGAGATACTCGAGGGAATTGCCTAGAAATGATCAAGCGACGGGAACTTGGTCATTGAGGGACGAAATTAGGGCTGCCCGAGAGCGGTTAATTTCCTGGAACGTGTAATCATCATTTCAGAATCTGGCAAGCAATGGCAATTCATTGTGTTCCACGGATGAAAATGAAATTTCTTGAAAAATTCTGCGATTTCTATGACGAACATTGAACAATATTGTAATTATTTCAATGCTTTTAACGTTAATTGTTTCGAATGAAATGAAGGGACGAATGAATTTGTAATGTCACGTTGTAATCCTTTGATAATAAAGGACGACAACGATGCACTTTATAATAGTCTACATTCGGATTGATTTAATTTGTAATTACTTCTTTTGTGCGATCGCGGCGTATTCGATTTTCAAACTCCATATTTCGTGACGCGCTTTTGCGGCACCGATCGACTGTAGTGGACCGCTCTGCCGCTTCACAAACGGCAAATTCGTTCCGGAAAAAATTCGCGATTTCGTTTGAACCAAGGATACATTTACACGGTCGCGCAGTGTATTCCGTGCTCGCGTACGATCCAATTACGATCAGCGATTTCGTCGGTTCCTCGACTTGCTGTATTAACGCGCGTTATTTTGCATTATCGATTGACGCTGACAGTAGTCCCGTTGCCCTTTGCAGCTCGCCCAGAAATGCACGGAAAGATTTTTAACAACGCACGAGCCACAATGATATTAGTTCCTTCCATTGGATCCTTTGAATTCGACAATAATCAACAGATTTTACGCGAATGTATCGTGTTTGATAAAAGCTTTCGTAAGTAAATTCCGGAGAAAGGTACTTTTTATAAAAGAAATCATTTATTTCTCATGTTTAAATATATGTTTCATGGTTCGATAGTATTTTCATAGATACGAGCAAAAGGAATTTTGGAAAAGAATAAAGTCCTCGAGGAAATTTCATAAATTCATAAGGGTTTTTTGTTCAACGAAATATACCGGTCTTCCTTTGGAATCTGATTTTGTTAAGCATTTTGCAATTGCATTGCCGTTCCCGTAGCGACGCGACAGAGGCATACAAAAAGTGAACCATGCTTCAATTTTGCCCATGGCGAAACAGAGGAATAGCGACGAACAAATGAGAGGGAACAAGAGAGGATCGAACTACTAGCCACTCGAACAATAGCGGAATCGAGTCTACTGCTCCCTGTAATCGCATTGCCAGTCCCAAGCGGTACAATTATAGGAGGGGAATTGTGAATTTGCTTTCGTGCATACGTAATCTTAAGGCTGTAGTACTTGATTCCACGTTGCTACTACTTGTACTGGAATTAGCAATTCCTCTAATAATACGTCTAAGCCGGCGACTATCGCACAAGTTGTAATTCGTGACTGTGTTTCATACAGGTTTTATACCATTACTCACAGGCGTTAACACTTCGTTATTTCTGTCGTAACATTGAAACTACCGAACGGGTGAGAACAACGCATTCCTGAATATTTCTTCTCGCAATTATAAAAAAGAGAACAGATGTTTCTATGAGAAATTTAAAGAAATCGACGCAGCAGTGCGCAAATTGGATTCATTATCAAATAAAGTCCGAATAGACGTATTCGCGAAGTTTCTATAGAAGAGTTTCAAAAAGTCGACTTAACTGCTTGGTAATTTTACTAATATGGACCTATGCGTACAAGCGACGCGATTGTTTTGCAGTAACAGAGAAACAAAGTTTTTGTATCGCATACAAGAACAAGAGAACTTTACATCTTCATTCTTCCAAAATCGCACAGTATCACCTCTGCGGAACGCGTCGTGTGCACAGGCTCTAAGCCATCCGTCACTAATTCCGACAATTTCCCCCAACACCTCGAATCATTCATTTTCCTCTTTATTAATTTAATAATTCTCGCGTTAGAAATAAACCGAAAAAGATTTGACTTGCATAATGAGGAACGAAGTGTTAAATATCGTACGCGTACGTTTCTCATAGTCAAATATACACTTTATACCGCATATAAGAGAGGAATATCTGAAAAGCTTATTGAGTTTTAATAATGCAATACAGAACGAAAGAGAGAGAAAGAGAGAGAGAGAGAGAGAGAAAAAGACTTCCTCGTTCACAGAGATCGGCACAATTCTGCCGGGCGACCAAGAGCCCGGAGACACGAAACTCTGACTATTCCGTTGGAAGTACTGAGTAAACGTCAAGTGCTCGAGATACATCTGTAGATCATTCATTAGATGATAAGGTCGCGAATTAATTAGCGAGGAAAACGGCGTTCCCCGCCGCGACATTCAGCGTTCGCGTCTTCGCTTCTTAATGCATGAAATCACTTGGACCCCGCGCTATCTTCCGGCAAGATAACGGAACGCCGCCGGGGGACGCTTTATGTTCGTTAAAGACTGCGAGTCGCTGCTAACAGGGGCAATTAGTTATTTTATAATTCACGTTGTCGGGGTCCGCCCCGTCGAATTCCGAAAGACAATTCGTTCGCCCCGCTGCGAGAAGGCGTTTCGGCGGCCGGGACGCGCGGGATCGGAATCAGAAGAACATGCTCGTATGGAAATTAGCCGGGCTACACGCGCCTGAATTCAGTTGTCGGGGGTTGTTTGCATTTACATTTATCATGGACGTCGAGCAATCAAATCCGCTTCAGGCCGCGGCGAATTATCCTCGTATGCGGCAGGGGGACGTTGCACGGGGACAAATACCGGCACCGATCCAGCCACCTATGTGCCGGGGTAAATTCTGGCACGCCAACAATTATGTTGGACTACAGCGTTACACGATCCACGGAGACAAGTGGTGTTCAGCATACTGCCGCCACATGCATCAGAACAAACACTTCCGGTCAACATTAGCGGAATGGCTAGCATACGCACTCGAGCAGCGATGACGGCACGTCAGATGCCCACTCGTCTCTGGTTTTCCGTGTTCCAGCATCGCTGAATGGGAAACCGAATTGCGATACGTTACAAATTAACGCTTTAACTGCCGCGGCAGTCACTGGTGATAAGGAAATGACTATCACTTGGGAGATAATTGATTTCGAATACACATTTCCCGTGACGTAAGTAACTAGATAATAGGGTAGTAAGAATTTTCATATCAATACAATGATTCTTGCTTTGCATCTTTGCTATAGAAAGAATAAGAGACACATAAAACGCTGATGTTTCTCGTGGCAGTCAACGTGTTAAGCTGCGTCTTCGATGAAACGAGTGACTTTTAGTCAATGCTACGTGTCTCTTGAAAAAGATGTGGTTTCTCTAGATTTCTTTGCGGTTCTGTCGCTGGCAATGAATGTGTTCTTGGAATTAAAATGGAATTGAAATGTACATTAAATAGTGTTGTTTTAGCGTGGACAGAATATTTTTGTCAGCTTGCTGCAGCTTCAGTGAGGATGTAGATTAACGCGTTCACTGCCGCGAAAAACTTCAGCGTTTTGTGTATAACTTATTCTTTTGTAGCAAAAATAAAAAGAAATAATTATCAATTGTTTGGTACACAATTATCAGGTTACACTATGATCCAGTTATTTGCGTTATTAAACATTTTCATTTACCTTACGAATTATAATTGTTTTCGAGTAATTTGGAAGCTCCGGTCATCTGTGACCACCGTGGCAGTCAACGTGTTAAGAATGTGTGCAGCGTGGAAGATAATAATTATAAGTGTTCCGTTCTTTTCTTTTGGATTGATTGTAAACAAGATTATTTATTTAATACTCTTATCAGAGAGAATTGAATGTATGATTGTTGTGAAGTGGGTCGAGAAATGTGAATGGTCCAGGGTAGGAGTGGAACTATTGGAGGATGGACGAGTTCAGAATCAATTGGCGTATCTTTGATAAATCTGGGACATTAAATTCGGAGGTAGCCAACTCCGGACACGGAGAATCGAATTGGACTAACCCAGGATCAAAAGCTTCGGATCTGAACAATTTAGGATTGGGAGACTCGAATTTAATCGACCTGAGATTCAGAGATTCGACTTTGGTTAATCCACTGTAGAAAGGTTTAGGGTATCCCTGACCAAGGGAGTTAATATATCTTGGAATCCGAGTGAATTGTCAATCATATGGAAGAGAGAATTTTCAGACCCATGAAACTATTTTACAATCACTCTGGATACAAGGTCCTAAACAGAGATCCAAAGATCTAAGGATCTAAAGTCTCAAGTCTCTAGACTAAAAACATCATCACGGTTACAAGGATCTAAATGTTCTATGTCTTATGTCTGCAGCATTTCTAGCTTCTAAATAATAGTATCTATCTTGAGTTTGAAGAACCTTGAACTTGAATCCACTAATTGTTTGAAGATAATATTATCTTCCTGTGTGTATACAAATATTTGTCGCGCAATCAGTGTTTACTGGTAGATGCGTAATTGCTTAATCACATATACAAAACGAAATCTACATTCAAGGAGCATTTTAATGCCATTGTGCCTTATCTCCAGTCACCATTGAATTCACTTCATTTCACGCAGCAGCGTTTCAATGCTTCCGTTATCAGCTTAACTCTTTTTGCACGGATAATGTTTACACTGCATAGCAGAGTGAACAAATGCCCGGGTAACCAACACGAACAAAATTACTGTACATACGTTTACCAAGCGAACGTATGCTTCGAAAAGACTTCGTTGCTTAACGGGTTAAGCGCCATGCCGAGTCACTTGAGAACAATCGTAACATGCAAGATAACCGATGTCGAATGAAGATGTTTAATAACATAACGAAGTTGATAATAACGCACTATAAGGATTGCATAAATAATTAATAATTGTCCCCGCTTTTCTTTGCTACAAAAGAATAACTCTATGAAAAAACGGCCAAGATTTTCGTGGCGTTTAACATGTTAACCAGACAACCGTGTTCGACGAGTATACTCGTCGTCTTGAAACTCAAAGTGATCCTAACCTCTTCGACAATTAATCATTCAATTTTTCAAATAAACATATCATTCTTTCTCACTTCGTTTTAGTTTCTTATTTCACCGCGTTACACGCGTCCGTACTGCGACGTGTATACTCGTCACTGGTTACTTCGATTACACCAGACAGAGATTTCTGAATTCCACGGTTAACTGGCTAAAAATTCCGTATTCCTTTAACACTAGAACTACCAGATGAGTGAAAATAAACCATTCCCGATGTCTTTTTATTGAAAAGGCACAGATACTTGTTTGAGAAATGAAGAAAACTGATTTAATGATAGCTAAATTGACATATAAGCCAATCGAATTCTTAATAACTACACACTCGCGGCTCTCACAAAGGAATTTTGAAAAATAAGTTTGAGTACTAAGCAGTTCCAGTGTTAACGCCGTCTCTGACGCGTCTGGAAATGCGATAACCACGTTCCACGTCCTTCACGGTGAATTGCAAACTAGTCACCATTCATTTCCATGCGGCGGTGTATCGCGCACGTTACATTTATGCCGGTTTCTGGGTCACGCCCCGAATAACACCGGTTAATAGAAAATGTGCGCTATTTTAGCAAATCGTATTTGAGTTTGATCGATTATTACCGCCGCGGCAAGTGGGTCACCCCGCAGCCGGAATCCATTTGAAGAAACCGGTTATGCCATTTCTTGCCCGAGAGCGTGTTGTCAGGCGGACATTGTTGAACCCAGGCCGATGCGCCTAGTTACAGGGATGGCACCGGCTCCGTCTACAACAATTCTTTCGCTGCCCTTTGTGATGTTCCCATTGTGCCGGTCGTGCAATCGGAGCAGCGGCCGTGCGCCGGTTATTTCTGATACGTCGCGTTGCTTATCATTCTGCGGTCTAATGGAATGTCACGCCGCATCTCGATCCGCGAATTCTCATAAACAAAACTCTGGCCCAAAAACGTCGCCCGCGAAGATTGGAAAATGCAAGCAGCCCGGCCGAGTAATATGTTTTTTTACCGATGTGTCGCGCGGCCGGCGTGTCGGGCATGATTCTCGAGCATCATTCTTCCGCAAATATTGCGACCGTGTACAGAGATGTCCGAGGCAACGGACGAATAATCGAAAAATGATTGAACGTGTTTAATTTCGTGGCGTCAAGTGGTTCACTGACGGTCAAGCGCACTTGTCGGTCTTCCGCAAACGTTTTTCACCGCGTAGGCACGCAGGTTTGAACTCTCGCGTGAAGAGCTGAAAGATGATCGAACGCTTTCAATGTTATATCACGGTAACCCTGTTGTTCGGAGGACAGCCGCGTCGAGATACTTCGTGATGCAGTTGTCTTGTCGCAAAATGGGAAAAGGAATTAACCCCTTGCTCCGCGATTTAATTTCGTTGTAGCTTTTGGAACTGTTTATCGTCGACAATGCAGTAGCGAAACGAACAATTCCATTCTCTGTCTCTTAGATTCACTCTAAACGGTACAGATTGTTAACAAGGAAAATAATGTTTCATTTCAACTCGAAAGCACTGAATGATATTGTTGGAAAATGATTTGTTAAACCACAATGGGGAATCTTCGCCACGAGTTGACACGATATTGTAAGACAAGGGGTTATAATTAGAGGAAATTGTATTGTACACCATGAAACATCCCTAACAAATGAATCTGGCAGCTTTCAGTAAACCACTAAACAACGAAAGCAATCGTTTATCAATCTCTCCTATCAACTACCCCTTTTCCTAAATTCTTGATAATTGATTGTACCGATTCACGGATTATTCAAACGACAAATAGAATCTTGTACGGAATATCGTTCTTATCGGCGTCCCCAGTCCACAATGCCGCAGACAGGAGATAAGCTGCGCGATCCGGAAGAAACCGCGAAAGACTTTGTTTGTCGTCAC